GAACTAGGAGTAACTCCCATTGTGGCGATATACAGAAGAGGAATAATGTCTGAAGGACTAAGGTGGTAGAAAATGAGAGAAATGTTTGGGAAGGGGTAGTAGATCCTTTTTGAGGCTGTGTCCAAAGCAGAAAGATCTAGAATGTTCAGGTTCAGGCCGCTTATATACCTAACTTGATCCAAGGCATCCCATTGGGCAAAGATATTTCTGGAGCATGGCTCTATTTACCACTGGAAACCTATGCCTGTGTCACTTTCTACAGAAGTCTCAGCACTGGGCATGATATATTTGTAACAGGGTTGGCAGGTAGGCGATGCACACCATCTGGGGGGCATGAGGAGAAAGGCCTGTTCATATTCCTTTGCCAACACCAGTGCCAACAAAGCTGCTCCTCACAGACCAGTAGTCTTGCGGCCATGTTTTCCTTCGCAGCTGCAGATCAGGGACTCTCTGACCACTTTGTATTCTGGTCATTAACTCAATGGCTGCTTTTCCTGGACCCTGTCACATTTGTAATGCAGTGCTTTCCTTAACTCAGAAGATGTATGACAAGCTTAACCGGGAACAAAAGTATTTGAGTCTTTTTTCTGTGGGGACTGGAGAGAAAGTGAAGTAAAGGAAGGATTTGGTTTCTTTTCTTCCACCCAGAAGAAACAAGAGTGGTTTTTCCAGTTCCATTGATACCAAGTGCCCACATATGAGTAGAACACATGAGAATGAAAAGGTGAGAACGAATGATTAGAGACTTGGCAATAAGACACCAAAAGAGAGAGGTAGAATGCTCACTTGGGGCGGGGGAGGGCTAAAAGTAAGCTACCAGCAATCTGAGTTGATTAAGGACTGTCATCTGGAAGACCAGCCAAGCTCTTCTCCATTCCCTCTGAGGACACGCGACCAAAGGAATTGCCCTTACGTTGCAGCAGAAAAGGTTTAAAATGAGACATAATAAATGATTTATTGACAGGGAGAGTTGTTAAACTACTGAGAAAGTTGTGGATTCTCCTTCTATAGAGTTCTTTAAAAGCACTGTACATGACCATTGGACATGTACGGCTTAGGTGGGTTTCCTGCCTCAAAAGGTTGAAGTGATTCCTACCCACGAGTCTGCATTAGAATGACCACCATGTCTCTAAAGATTAGTGAACATCAGCCTTCCGTAAAGAACGGTAAATGCAGAAGACACTTCACGCTTCCACTCTGGTTGTTATAACTTTCTGGCTACACTCACTGCATCTTATATGACCACGACCACTCTCAGAAACAGGCATGTGACCCATTTAGGAGATGAAGAAACTAAGGGATGAGGGACCATAGGACACCTAAAGAGAGAGGGTCATTAACAATCCTATCAATGCCTGGTTACCGGGCCAGTTATCAGGAGCACCAGGGTGAGTTCTTGGTTTCTGAAATCCAGTGTAGCTATGTGGCTAGAATTCTAGGGCAGGGAAACAAAGCCATTGTGTACATGACATATACAAGAAGAATAAAGATAGAATGAAGTATAGCACTGTGTGTGTGACTTTTATTTATGTCATTGCAAAGAGACTTAGCTAGTTCCTGGGAATGAACTTGGATTGCTTTGGAGGAGTGTCACGAAGGGAAGTTACTCCACTGCAGGCAATACAGGAACTGAGAGCACTTGCTTGAATGCGCTTCCCCGCCTGGCGCATGTGACCATGTAGCAGTGTGCCTGCCTAGAGTCCACATGGCCCATGACCTCTCTGTCCAGCCACAGGAGAAATCGTTCTAATTCCTGAGCTGGGTTGGGGCTTATTCTATGCTCAGAAAATATGGGGCAATTGGATCTGTGAGACCTCTTCCTTGACTGCATGAGGTCTCATCTATGATTCAGAAAGGCTTACATTCAAAACACATAGGCTTCATCTCTCCCCTGTGTAATTTCATGGTCACTTCTGACTTTGTATTGTTCTCTCTGGAGAGAGAACATTAGAGAGTTATCTGTGGCAGTGATTCTGAACTTGCTGTCCACGGACGGTGCTGGCCCACCACACCTCTAGTACTAAATAGAATGACTAACTCTCCTCGTCTTATCACTGAGAGTCCCAGGAAATGCCTCAGTCCCAGGAGAACCAGCATAATTTGTCATCCCAGTCCTGAATGAAGTAAGGACAACGAGTCTTTTCTGAAGTTAGAAGTATTTAATTTAAGTTCTGAAAGCTGATGAGTTTCCCTAAAGCTAACCATGTGTAATTTAAACTGACTTTTGTGATTCTGCCATCTTACATCTCGGGTTCAAAATTCCACTTAAAAAATAAAATTGTGGCGACAGTGGTTGTTAGTATTGTAGTTTTGTAAACTGCTGGATTTGTCACAGATGATGATACTCTTTATGTCAGAGCCCCACCTCTTATTTCGAGTATAGTCTAGGTACCACTCACTGATATAGTTTCTTTCTCTGCCTTCGATTCTCTGCCCTTCTACTGGTTGTCATACTGGAACCTTGGATCTCCAGGTGATCATGTTTTGGGGCAACCTAAGGGGTTGGTTCTGACTACAATTGCTGAGCTTGGAAGAGCTAATGCTTTTGTTCTGCTGGTTTACACGCCGCTTAGAGGAAGTGGCCTTTCTCCCACCTTCCCAGTCTGCGCCTCTAATTCTTTCCCCATTCTTAAAACATTTTGTTGAAATCCTGGATGGGAAACCATGGAGGCTTTTAAGTGTAATACTACTGGGGCTATAAAGGAGAACAATGGGGGAAGGTTGTGGGTGAGTGAGCAGTGGGAAATGATGGCTGTGCATTACATCACTGTGTCACCTTGGGCAAGCCACTTAGCTTCCTGATACTCAGTGGGCTAATTTGTAAATCGGGAGTGACGCCTTTCTTACGGAACACAGATCGTTGGGCAGAGGACGTGAAGTGAAGGCTTTGGAAGGGAATACGATGAAGCAGTCGGCAGTCTGCGTTGGTCAGTTTGTTTCCTTTCATCCTCCCGCCTGGGCTTCTTCACCAGGAAGTGAGCCCATAACAGAGCTCTGCTTGTACTTCTCATAATCTTACAAACGCTAATATAACAAGCAGAGGCATTACCTCATTGCGGCCAAGCATACCTGTTTTCTAACAGCAATTACTTAAAACTAGTTCCACTTCTGTTGGCTTTCAATCCCTCATCACATCTTCTTCTCACTGCCCACCCCCCGCCCCCCAATCAGGCACAAAGCCTCCTTCCCAGGGGCTCAGCTCAGGGCACTTTCTTCCCAAGCCCTAACATTCCAACGTAAGCACCTACAATTTATGATCTCCTCTCCCTTCCTGCACAAAACACATAGCACACAATACATATGTTTCAGGAGGGGAATTGCGGTGGACTGAAAACAGAGCATTATGCTAAGAATCAAATAATTGGGCTCTGGTCTGGCCAGTGTACCTCACTAGCCCTTTTCCCTTGGGTAAATCACTTCCTCTCCGGATTCCCGTCCGTAAAGTGATGGTGGGGGGAAGGGATGTTAGGACTGTGTGGTAGAAAAGTAATGGCCCAGGAATAGGCAGATCGGGTTTCTTATTTTCTTATCCTGGTGTTGCCGCTTGCTAATTTACTCTATGACTTAAGGGAAATCATTTCTCCCCTTACTGGGCCGTGCCCCCCCCCCATACATAAAACAAGAAGGTCGAATTAGGAGATTCATTAAGGTCCCTGCCAGCCTGGAAATTGGCTGCTTCTGTGAAATGGGTTTCATGAAACAAACATGAGTTGGAGCGCCTACTCTGTGCCGGGCACTCTGTAATGGTGCTTGTGAAAGGGCCCGTGGCTGGGCACGGTCCCTGAGACCCTGAAAACAGCTGCTGCTAGTTCCTGACAATGTCTCCAATTAGCAGTATGGTAGCCCATACAGCCAGTGCCTGTGCAAGTCCCCCTTACCTTGGGTCCCCACCCCTGAAACCCTCTCCCACCACCTGTAGCCTTAAGCAATGGTGATGAATCATGGAGACGTTTCTGAAACATCCTCCACCATCTGCCTGCTGGAGACATTCACAGTGCTGTCATCAAGCTGCAGTGTGGTCTCTGGCTGCCCTAATTGCGGCCAGAAAGCAATGGCAGATTAATGGAGTTGGGAGGGAAGTGGTCGATTTTCAACAGAGGGGTCTGTGAAAGCCATTTGTGAGCTGGGCCGAGGAGATGAGATCTGAAAAGGCTCTCGGGGTCTTGAATCTGAGATTGCTTGTTCCGGAAGCACCTTGAAAGGTCCTTACAGCTATATATATGTTCCTGCTGCCAGGCAGGGGGCACCTGATCCATGTCAGAGAGAGAAGAGAAGCTTTGGAGCAAAGGATGAGGCAGGTTTTCTTAATAGCCGGTCTAGAGTCAAACAACGCTTACTGGTTGGAAAGTTGCCTCGTATTGCTTTTGGGGAAAAAGTGACTGATCAGTGCTCACTCAGTGATAAGAATGGGGTATGAGAGAGGAACCCCATATTTTATTCTGCACATTTGTCAACCCTGTGAATGGCTCCTATTGATGCCCTATTAGACATCCTACATAGGTCGTAGGGGCACATCCTGTGACCCTCCCACAGTGAGCTCTCTTTCCTTCTTCTCCCTTGTAGGAGGGGCAGCCCCCTGAGGTGTCTTCCTTCTCCCTCACTCTCTGAAAACAACTTGCTTCCTGACCCTCTTGAGATACCATCTCCTTCCAGGCCTCCAGGCCAGTAAAGCCATTCCACCGGAAGCTGAGGATTCTCTGGGCAGCCTTGGTTTCATTCAGCCTTCCCTCCTGCCACTTGCTTCATGCTAGACGTCAAGAGTTGAGAGCTGTCTGATCAGGCTGCATTCGAGCTGCTGGAGCAGCCACCAGTTCATTTCTATGGCTCTTCCATTGCAGCCTAGAGACCATAGAAATCTGAATCAGGTGGAGGGAAGGGAAGATGGGGAAAATGCTGGAAAGCAGAATCCCAGAAGGACCTAAACGGTCCTGAGGACAATAATGTTATCCAGAAGCAAAGGCCAAGTGGTACATAAACGAGCCCTAGGACTGGCCAGCCAGATGAAACTGGCCTACTTGCTAACTGTCTGCATTTGGTGCTATGACCCAACTCATCTCCCCATCCCTGCAGAGAAACCTGGGACCATGAGGAGCAGCCTGACCCTGGTGGGGACCCTCTGGGCCTTCCTGTCCCTTGGTACTGCTGTGGCCAGTTCTACCAGTTACTTCCTGCCTTACTGGCTCTTTGGATCCCAGCTGGGGAAGCCAGTGTCATTCAGCACATTCCGGAGGTGCAACTACCCCGTGCGGGGAGAGGGGCACAGTCTGATCATGGTGGAAGAGTGTGGGCGCTATGCCAGCTTCAGTGCCATCCCAAGCCTGGCCTGGCAGATGTGCACAGTGGTGACAGGTGCCGGCTGTGCTCTGCTGCTCCTCGTGGCACTGGCTGCTGTCCTGGGCTGCTGCATGGAGGGGCTCATCTCCAGAATGATGGGACGTTGCATGGGAGCAGCACAGTTCGTGGGAGGTAAGACTGTGTCACCGGGGCTGGGCAGGTTGTGGAGCTTGGCGGTGGGGGTGGGGGTGGGGGTGGGACATGTTGCCTTACCGGGAAATCCACTCTCAGCCCCTCCTGTTTATCCAACCCGAACGCTATGAATGTGGACTCCTTTGAAACACCCAGCCCAGGACTCCCCAGAGTGCAATCTATAGCAGGGTTTTACTCACAGCAAAACGGGCTAGTAGCAAAGCTGGTATCTGGGTTTTTTGTTTTTCGTTTTTTTTTTTTTAGCCTCCATTTTCATCCCCTTCTTCCGCCTGAGCGGTGCCCATTGACGACTTTTATCCAGGTCCGCTTTCCAGGGGCAGCAACATATACTCTAAATACACTTGATCTCCAAGAGCCTTGATCTCTGGTAGTGATCTCAAAGGGCAATGATCTGATAAACACGTACACGCAAGTGCTAATTACTGACAAGTTTAATGTACAGCCTTCACCAAAGGAATATATCTCTAAAAGTGAAATGCTAGGTACCAGACAGACTGTAGGTCCCTGCTTATTTGCCCTATATCTAAGGCTAGCCCTATCTGGTAGCTGTTAACAGTCTATCCCAATTTCCTATGGCCCTGACCCACCCTACTCATTTTTCCCCTCATTCAGTCTCCCTCTAAATTTAGTGCAGAAGACCTGGGGTGCTGGTAGCGCGCAGATGGGCCAGGAAAGAGCAAAATGCAAATATGGCAGACTGCGGGAAGGCAATGGGGGCAGTTTAATTTGAACTTTGCGAGAAGAAAAGGCAAGTGTAGACAGGCAAATGTATGTGTTATATTTTATACCTAAATGGGGCACTGGGAAAAAGTGCTGGTAGAATATCTTGCTGAAGTTTGTGGTTGTTGTTCATGAAGTTTTAGAATCATTATTCAAGTCATCATCATTATCATCTCCATTAGCAGTACAATGTGTGTGAATGCAGCCAAGAAACTTGGTTCCCACTTCTGGCTCTAAGTTGCCCAGTGGCTGGGCAAGTGACAGTGACCTCTAGTATGCTCACCTCCCTTCCTTCCTTGAATTTGTTCATTGGCAAGATGGCACAGATGCTAAATTTCTTTATTCTCTCTAATGACTGTATTGAGATGGCCTTGGAGTAAGAGAATAGTGGTGAACAAAGACATTGTTTCTCAACAGGAGCTATTCCCGCCCTGCCCTGGACGTTTGGTAATCTCTTTGAGACACTTTTGATTATCACAACTTGGGGAGTGTGCTATTGACATCCAGTGGATAAAGATGTGGGATGATGTTAAATATCCCACAAGGCACAAAAACATGACAGCTTCCAATTTCCAACAACAAAGAAGTATCCAGCACAAAATGACAATCGTGCCAAGGTCGAGAAACCCTGAACTAACGCATCATGGTTTCCTGACCTGCTTATGAAAACTGCCAGTTTCTTTGTGTTGTTCCAGTTAAGGTGATATTTTCTGGTTCCCTCTTTCTTCAGGCTCACTGTAAAAGTTTTAAATGTGAATTCACATTCTAGTCTCCCTTGTTCCTGAAATTTTCCATTCTTTAGCTACTAATGGTTTTCTGGCCACATTGAAAGTCATTAGACTAGCTCCTTTCTTCCCCCTTGAAAACCATGGTACAGAACCAGTTACTAAGGCTGGTCTAAGCCAATGACTTTGTCTCCCTTTGGGGGCTCTATGGGTATCACAAATAAACCTTAAATAGGCTCACTTTTCACCTGAATTCTTGGGCATGCTATAGATAGCTCAGCACTTTTATGGACACGTTATTTCAGAAAATAACACTTAGCTGGTGGGAGAAAGGGACGGTCTTTACAACTTATATTTATATTCTCAGGGCCCAGTTCGGTGCCTGGCACAGACCAGGTCTTCAGTAACTGTAGAAGAATGAATACACAGCTATGGCAGTGTCTAGCATATCTTAGGATAAGTTGAACACGTGACAGCTGGGTTCCTTCACATGCTATGCTTTTTGTTTCCCCGAGGGGACCTTCGCACCCTGAGTCCTTTTCTATTCTGATTTGAGAGTGACAGCTTAGCCTCACTTGAATTTCTAAGAGTTGCCAGCAGAGGGTGAGAGGGGCTAATTGGTAGGAATCAGAAGGCAAGTAACAACAGCTTCCACCAGAGTCCAAGCATTATTAACAGTGGCTCCTGCTCCCAGCTTACTTGGGCTTGACTGAGACTTTTACAAAAACCCTTATGTTTCTCCATATGATACATTTTAGTTGATCCCACTTCCGAGGTTTAGAACCTCAGAGGAAATTCTTGAGGAGGTATGTGGGTAGGTAATAGAATTTTACAATACACTCATGGACTGAGTGGGGAAGAACTTTGGCTGAGTGGCAGGTGTCATACATAAGAAGCAAAACATTAGTACTATTTTCCTCTTATGTGGTTCCTCATGTAGAATGATTCCCCATTGACCCTTGCTCATAGGCATATGGTCACAGTATTTATACCTGGGTGAGGGTCTTTAAAGTTCAAAAATAAAATGCCATTTGACAGTAGTCATAGGAGTCAAGACCCAAGGCATGGTGGTTCAAGGTTTATCCCTGGATAAGTGAATGATACTGGACAGATGGCTAAATTTTCACAGCTCTCCCATCTGTAACACCAGCCAAATGAGGGTCATTTGTACCTCCTTTTTAAAAACCGGCACCTGTCAAGGTTACATCAGATGTGAGGGAATGGTGAAGACTGCTTGGATGCATCATATTTCCTAGGAGCCCCTTGGCACATGACCATCACCCAAGGGTCTCCAGAGATCTTGTATCTGACCCCTCGGAGATATGCTCTGTCAGTGTCAGGAAGCCAAGCCTGAACAGCATGTTTAGCACCACGGATAAAAGACACAAGAGAAAGAGCTGTGGGGGTTAAGTTTAAGCTTGCTGTTCAGCTGAGGGGAATTGATTCTGTTGTTCCAGGCCTGCCTGCTTCTCGGCAGCTAGTGCATTAACCGAAATACAGCATGGGGGTGGAGCCAATTTGTTTTAGGTCTGGTTGATCTCTGCCAGACCCCAAACCACTGAAGAGATGGAGTATCCATTAAGAACTACTGCCTCCCCCTGCCTGACTCTTGTTCCCCAGTTTGGCAGCTGCCCACAGAGATGAACAGTGGGAAGTGGGAGAGACAGGAAGAAATAAAGAGCTGCTGGCCTGAGTCAGACTTAGCAAGGTGACCTGATGGGGCCCTTGGGTCCCATTTGCTCCACCTGCAGCTGATCCAGCTGGACAAGCCTAGGGTCCAGGGAGCCTTCCACTGGGACCTTCATGCCCTGCTCCAACCGGTGAAGGAAACATCTGGCCAGGAGATTATTTCAACCCTGGGGATGCTGGGCTTTCCAAACAGCTGGCCCCCAGTCCCTGAGAACAAGGTCATTATTCACATTCCCCTGTGTATACATATGCAAGATGCTTGTGAATTGTTCTCTATCTTCAGTGCGAGCTAAACAAAGAAGAAATAGTTGAGAAGTAAATGTAAGGAACTTCTTGGCAGGAAAAAGTATAAGATCTTGGATCGGGTTACATGAGGGAGGCCAAGAATCTTTCTAGAGCAGGGAATGTATCAAGATCACCTGGAGGGCTTAAAAATATGTGGACTCCCCAACTCTCTCAACCTTTTTCCCATTCTGATTTACATAGCAACAGGTGGACGTCTGCGTGTTTTGAAAAATCTCCCCAGTGACTCTGATGTGTATGCTGTGTTCCTTTTTCCCAACGCAAGTGAGAACCACCAATCTGGACATTTTTTTTTTTTTTTTTTTTTTTTTTTTTTTTTTTTTTTTGGTTAAGGAGATATAATTCAACGTACCCAGATAGGCACCAGTGTTTCTTTCCACGTAAGGTCCTAATGTTACATGCTTCAAGCTCAGTGAAAACCGCCACTAGAGACAGATCACTGAGAACTTGAATCAAGGAAAGGGGGCTATTTTTCTAAAAACAAAACAAAACAAAAACAAAGTCAAAAACAAAACAAAAACAAAAAAAAAAACCCATTATCTTCCCTGTAAACCATGCATTTCCTGGAAAAATCCCTCAAGTTTTACCAGGCATCATTTAATTTATCCTTACCATGATGAACGAGGATAAAAGTGGCTTTCTGCTTGGGAAAATAGTATTTAAAGAAGTTAACCTACTAGCAAATACTTAGGTACCCAACTGGAGCAGAGCAGAGAATATGGGTCAGGGCTCCTGACTCTCAGCCCTGGGCCTTATGCACTGGTGCTACTGATTTCTCCTTTTCCTCTTGAAGATGAAATGCTATCACAGTGTTTTTTTAGAGTGGCCCATGAACCGCTTGTATAAGAATTACCTGGGGTGCTTGTTAGTGCCATTCTAAGCCTACTGAATCAGAACTGATGCCTTATACCCTGTATTTTACACAGTCTCCTTAGGCTGATCTATTCTTGACAATATAGTATAAAATAGTTGAGATGTATGCACCGGTCACCTTAAGAAATATGTTACCGATACAATTATAGTCTCCTTCATATCCTGATCATATTCCCTTGTTCCTACAGCAGAGATAGCTATGATCTTTCATTTGTACACACCAAAATTTGAGAACCTCTGCTCAGGGTTGTTCATAATGTTGCTTTTTCCTAGAACTCCCTTTTCTTCCATCTCTGCCTGTAAACATCTGCCTCTTTCTCCAAGTTCAGGTCAAATGTAGCCTCTATGTGAAGTCTCCCCTGATCTACTTTAAATATTTCTTGCAGAAGTAAACTTTCTTATAACTCCAAGAGAGAATATGGGGTCAAATGAATTAGAGAGTTGAGTGAGGAGCTCCCTGGGAAGGGAAAGCTAAGATTATATAGCTAGAGGGCAGATTTATACATTTTCTAGTACGGTTGAGTTAAAGTTGCTACAAGAGCAATAAATTGAGCAAATTACTAACAAATTAACCCACACTGGACTTCTGCTCAGGTGGTAAATTCAAACTACCTAATAACCATATTTGGGTAGATATTTGGAGATGGGTGGAGAGTGCAACCAAATGGT